AAAAGATAGAAAGAAAGAATAGAAAAGTGAAGAAAAATCTGCGCGGTACTTAGTAGAAAGTGCTCAATAGCTGTGATAAAGATAACATATTCAGTTGTATGGATATTAGTTTGTAACCCTGGGCTTCCCGTTTTTGCGACCATCAGACAAAATCCACTGATTTAGTAGTGTGCCTTCCCTCTCATTCTTTTTATACGACTTCTGATTTTTTTTTCAGTTAGGAGAAGTTTATAGGAAGATTGGGTGGGTATAGGAATATTTTTCAACAATTACCCTATATATATATATATATATATATATATATATATATATATATATATATATATTATGAAATGGACAAAGTCCGACAATTATTTAAGACATTTCTTTATGTTTATTCGTTCTTTTTATAGATACAAATAGTTTAAGTAAATGGTCTGTTTATAATAAACAGTACTAACAATATTTACCGGCATGAATATCTGAGAAATTTTCATTAACAGTATGAATATAAAAAATGTCTTAAATAATTGTCGGACTTTGTCCATTTCATAATGTATGACGTCATTTGTTTACATTTGGATGCGCTTTAAGCAGATATGAGAGAATGAGAGAAAATCATGGAGAATTGTGTTTAAAAACAGTAAAATCGACCTTGATAACCGAACTCTCCTCTGTGGCCCAATTGGTTAAGGCACGTCAGGCTATATGACGGTTTCGTATAGGATACAGGTTCGAATCATATCAGAGGACGCACATTTTCTATGAAAATTTCTCGGACATTCAAACCGATAAATATTGTTAATACTGTTTATTAAAACAGAGCATTTACTTAAAATATTTGTATCTATAAAACGAACGTATAAACATAAAAATGTCTTATATATATATATATATATATATATATATATATATATATATATAGGTGGTGTGTGTGTGTAGTGGACACTCCCGCCGTATTCGACGTATGAGGGTCAGCCACTTAGTTCCTAGGAAACGACAGCCAGACACCAACAGAAAAGATTTGATTATAGTGGTGAAGGTTTTGTGCAGAAGCAACCACATTTTTTGAAAGGCTGAATACAGAGACCTGGTGCACTACATGCCACAAAAATCCCCCAAAAAACTTCCGCAGGTTTTGAATTCAAAGTTTCCCTTTTCCTTGACTAGTTGCCATAAAAAATTATTGAACCCAGTTTGTCCTATATATATATATATATATATATATATATATATATATATATATATATGCACGGTACTTAATGGAAAGTGCGCAATGTCAGTTTGTCTGATGATCGCAAAAGCGTGAAACACTGGATTAGAAACTAATATCCATACAATATATATATATATATATATATATATATATATATATATATATATATATATTATATTATTTTTAAATTTTTTTAAAGTAGTGACTGGAGAATATTTTTCATGTCTGAATTTAGGATTTGCTTCAAGCCCTTCCCATCAATCTAATGAGATTATTATTAGCCGTGTCTAAATCGTATCCAACAGTTTGCTTAAAAATAATACCTTAGAACATCTACTTAAACACAGATATATGTCGTATCGATCTTACAGCTATGTAAGCAAACAAAGTATTCCTATGCATACAAAATTAGTCATCAGCTTTATATTGTAGACATAGCCTATTTCTCTCTCTCTCTCTCTCTCTCTCTCTCTGCCTCACGCTCTATTTCTCTCTCCCTCACTCAATATTTCTCTCTCACTCACTCCCTATTTATCTCTCCCATACTCTCTATTTCTCTCCATATATTTTTCTCTCCTATACTCTCTATTTCTCTCTCTCTCACTCTTTACTTCACTCTCTCTCACACCTATTTTTTCTCTCTATCTCTCTCTGTATATCTCACATACATACACTTTATACACACACACAGACAGATACACACACACACACACACACACACACACATATATATATATATATATATATATATATATATATATATATATATATATATATATAAAATTTCTCCGATTTACTCGGTAGAAAACAATATTTATGAATAAAAATGACAATAGGAAAACTATTCGTATTTTGCTTTGATAAAGTCCACATTGGACGAAACGCGTCAGCAATTACCAGTTTTCCTATTGTCATTTTTATTCATATATATATATATATATATATATATATATATATATATATATATATATATATATATATATGCTGCATATTTTCATTTGACCATGTTTGGTTAAATGATTTAGACGTATTATGTCTATTTATTTTAGTTTTAATCCTTTTCCAGCCCACGAATTAATATCTTAGTGTCTGTAAAAATTGATAAAAAAAATAACAAAATTTTCTTTCAAATAATTTTTATTTTGCTTAGTACTTTCAATCTCATCTGAGACCATATTCAGGGGTTGCATTTTTATGAATGTGTTATCCGTTAACACGGTAAATTCAAAATGATGCATAACATATCCATAGATATGCAACCTCTGAAGTTTGCCTTAAATGAAAATACTTGGGAAAATAAAAATTATTTGAAAGTAAATTTTGTAATTTTTCTTAATCAATTTTCTACAGCTACCAAAAATTTAATTCGTGGAAACTAAAATAAATAGATATAATACGTCTAAATTATTTAGCCAAACATGCTTTCCTTCATGAATTTCATCTTAACATCAAGAAATTATTTAGAGAATTAGAAATGATCAATATAAGAATAGACATGTCTCTATTATTCAATGAAATACACACACACACACACACACACACACATATATATATATATATATATATATATATATATATTATAAAGAGGTAATCATACAAAGAATTAATTAGTAATATTAATGTAATTAATGGTGAAATCTCTTCGCTAACATATTTAATAAGACATTAACTTGCTAAGAATTCATTGAATGACGCGAGGCTATGCCGAAAGACAGAGTCTCGTTCGGGGAGGTAGACAGACCCGAATCCTTTTATGCGGGATTTATGGAGAAATTTTGGCCTAGACTACTGACTCGGATTGCCCCACATTAAATTAGCCCTTGTGCCACATCCTACCTCGTAGGGAGGCTGGTAAATATTATTTAGCTGGGGTCTGTTACTCAGCTCTTAGCTGTGGTCGAACTCTCTGCTTTTGGGCAGAGAGGAGCCCAGACGAGGCTATGCCGAAGGGCAGACTCTCGTTCGGGGAGATATACAGACCCGAACCCGTTTATACGAGGGGAGTTTTTGGACGATCCTACGGGCTCGGATTGCCCCACATGAAATTCGCCCTTGTGCCACACCCTACCTTGTGGGGAGGTTGGTAAATATTACTAGCTGGGATCTGTTGAGTACGACTCAGATTAACGCGAGAACTACCGACCTTCCAATAGTAGCCCTATTAGTAGCCAGTATTACTGGATTGACTTGCAACAACCTTGTGCATAACTGTTACCTTTATTCTTATTGTACTGGTTTCTTACAATAAACCTCTACTTATTTCATCCACCTTGTTTTTCAAGTATATATTCCTATTAGCACGGAATATAACAGTTTCAAAATTGAGAGTTCTTTTCATTTCACTGAAGCAGACATCAAAGTCATGAGTGTTATCGTCCCCTTTATCTTCTCTTTCTTTCTTTCTTTCTTTCTTATTATTATGTATTTTTTTTCGCTCATTAAAACCAAACTGCGTCTGATGTATGATATCCGGTAAGTTGCTCGAAATCAACTGCCCGACAATAAATTGCTCGACAGTAAATTGCTCGAAAAATAATTTCTCGAACTATCAATTGCTCGAAAGGCAGATTGCTCGAAACCTGTGGTTAAAAAAAAATAAAACTACATTGTTTCTAATATTTACTATAAGATAAAATAATACAAATTTATTGTTGTTAATTAAACAGTTAAAATTAAAGAACGAGTACATTTATGTAGCAGGTCTTATTTTTTTCTCCATTGCTTTTTTGTCATAGTTTAAAATAAAGGGTACATTTTTAATATTACTGTTATTTATCGTGATCTAAAAAAAGATATAAATATTGTCGCTAATATTTACTCTATTAGTATGAAATATTATATACAACGTCTTAAAGGATCTTCAACATTACTTCGAGCAATCTACCTTTCGAACAATTTATAGTTCGAGAAATTATTTTTCGAGCAATTTACTGTCGAGCAGTTGATTTTGAGCAATTTACCTAGATCCCTGATATATATATTTGTCCGTCTATCTTCGGAATCAAAATGCAATAACCCATTTTTCATCTAAGAATAATGACGGGTTGGGTAAGGTATGGGCTAACTAACTTAGTAAACTAACTTAATTAACGAAGGGACAATAAGAATTATAATATAATATGTTATATTCTTTATTCCCGTGTTTTCGACTAAATTCATTCAAATATGTGGTCCCTAATCTAGATAGTCAATGACAAAAAGACGGTAAAAAAAAACCTTCTGATTATTCCTCTCCGCCATGTCTTTCGCTATTTTCACATCTCTACAAAATAAATTCCTTCACACGCTTTAAATAAACACGGCTTCACTCTGTTGTACTTTTAGCGGGCCCACAAACAGAAACACCCCAACTTCCGTAGGGGTAGTGCAGGGACCAGGAAGAAGTGTAGGCCAAAACTTTACTCTCCATATTACTATCACTGACGGTGTTCTGCAAGCTAAATAGATGCCACCAGCTTCCCTACACAGGAACAGGGGAAACATTTTTAGCCGAGGGAATTTATTCTCAAGCTCTACAATCATAGTGAGCAATGGAACGATATTCAAAGTTCCCGTGCCACACGCAAACCGCTTAGACATCGACTGTCAAAATGTCTTCATTTTTCCGATGATGTCACTCGTATGTATTTAACATTTACTCATCAGTTATTCACGAACTGGCAGGCAGGAAGACAGACAGACAGACAGTGGAACAGAGACAAACAGATCTACACTCACACACATGGGCACAGTTCTCTTCATTGCCAGACACAAAATAATCATTCGTGATAAATAGAGAGATAGAAACAGATAAAGAAGATGAGAT